TTATTAAATTGAAATATAATGAAATTACTCTTGAGAAGTATTATCGTCATTATGTAAGAACAAAATATAATCCACATCAAATTTACAGGTATATCATATAGAAAAAATCTATTACATTTAACTAAAGATATATTTTTATATTCAGTAAATAATATTTATATTAAAATTGAAACTAATAAGTATTACTAGTAAAAAAGTAAATTTACAGAAATATATTTTTAGAATAAAGTAAAATTTGTCAAAAAACTTTTTTTAAAAAATATTTTTTACTTTAAATATGTGATTAAAAAAATAGTATTTTTTTTTTTTATTTAAATTGTAATTAATTTATTTGACTTTTAAATGTGCTTTTTACATGATTTGTTATTATAATTTCATAAAAATAAATACCTATTTTCACTTTTTCTTTTGAATTTAAGTACTTAATAAATTTTTTTTAATTTTTTTTCAAATAATTGAAAAAGTAATTTTTTTTAAAAAATAGTTATAACAAAAAATAAATATATACATATATTGTATAAACATTTATCAATAATAAAATTAAAAAAAAAAGAATTAAGATAAAAAAACGTATATTAGAAAAATCAAAAAGGTTATATTTAAAAGAAAAATATACACAAACAAAAATTAGTTTTATATAAATGAAAAATTGTGACAAATGTAGTATACTGTATGAAAAATACATGCGTATAAAAATTTTTAATTTATAGAGTTTTTTTTTTTTTTTTTTGATGGAGATATATCTCTATAATATACGAAGATTTATATTTATAAATCATAATATACCGTATATAAAATAATTTAAAGTTCGATATAATTCACAGAGATTAGTAATTTAGAAAAAAAAAATTAAAAAAATCCTTTAACATTAAATGTATATCATTTATAATTTTTATGTGCATTAAATTAAAAAGAATTAATTTTTTTTACATAATATAAAGATAATTAAAATTTTAATAAAATATTTTTAAAACAACATTATCCGATTTATTATATTTTTTATTTATTTGTTAATTAACATTCTTATTTTATTTTTTAAAGAATTAAGAATATTATTCCTATCTATTGTAACTATAATGTCATATGTAATAATAAAAAATTAGAAATTACATTTCCTATATGAAAATAATTTTCTATTTTAAAAATATAAGAAATTAATATAAGTTATAATAATATCTAAATTAATATTACAAATCCATAATTTAGCATTATTGAAAATTGAAACAATTTTACATCTGAAATAACAACTTCCACTTCAATATTATTCTATAAATATATTATTATGAAAATGTTAACATTATGTTTAAAAATTACTACATTTCTTCTTTTAATTTGGACGTATCAATGTTTTTATAACGTAAGTTAAAATTATTAAAAAAAATATACATATAGATATATTTTATTTTAAATATTTTTAACATTCCATTTGATTTACTATTCTAACAAAAGAAACATTCTTTTAAAAAATTTTTATTTAATCCATAGTGTTATTCCTATAAAACTTTGATTGATAAAAATACAATGCAAATAAAAAATGAGTTAAAATATAGAAGAGTATTAACAGAGGGTGACATAGAAGGAAAAAAGAAAACTTACGTTGAAGGATGCCTGGAAGAATGTCCATTAGATAAAAAAAAAAAAAAAAAAAAATGGAAAAATCCTTTTAAAAGCAAGAATCCGTACTATATATGGCAGAGAGATACTACTCCATATTTGTGGGAGCATTTTCAAAATGAGACAAGTGAAATGGACCCTAAATGGAGAGACGAAAAATGGAGTAATGAATGGAAGAGAATTTCAGCTAACAAAGTTAATGATCTATCTTCAATATTTCATCGAAGTGATATTTCAAAAGAAGAAAAAGAAAGATTAATTTATTCTGTTGAGAAAGAACTCTTCACACTATTTGTGGAATTTTTAGACAAATGTAAGAATGAGATGAGAGACAATAAAACAGAATCCGAATCTAAGAAAGAGATGATAGACAATAGAACAGAATTCGAACCTAAGAAAGAGACGAGAGACAATAAAGCAGAATCTGAATCTGAGAAAGAGATGAGAGACAATAAAACAGAATCTGAATCTGAGAAAGAGATGACAGACAATAAAACAGAATCTGAATCTGAGAAAGAGACGAGAGACAATAAAATAGAATATGAATCTGAGAAAGAGATGAGAGACAATAAAACAGAATCTGAATCTGAGAAAGAGATGAGACACAATAAAGAAGAATGTGAATCTGAGAAAGAGATGACAGACAATAATACAAAATCCGAATCTGAGAAGGAGATGAGAGACAATAAAACAGAATCTGAATCTACAAAAGTGCAGGGAACAAATAAAATAAAAAATTATAAAAAAAAAATTTCGAAATTGATTATTGTTTTGATATTCTTAAGGAGAATAAAAATTAATGGCTTAACAGAGAATATAGGATTAGTCATGCACAAGATCTAGTTAAAAAAAAGAAAAATTAATATTTTGTTTAAATTTTTTTTATAGAAATATATTTTATTTTTTAAAAAAAAAAAAAATTAAAAGAGAAAAATTTTTTAGAAAAAAAAAATTTCATGAGAATATTTTTTAATTTTTAAGAATAAAATTTTCATTAAATGATATTAATATAATTAAAATTTTTTTTTATTGTATAAGTATTTTTATTATTTTTAAAAAAAGTGAACTTAAATTACTAAAAATTACTTATAAAAAACAATAAATATTTGGTACATAAAAATAAATTATTAATTAGAATATATGTTTTATTAAGAATATATAATTTTTATTAAACTAAATCCACAATTAACCTCATTATTGCGGTTTATTTGTTTATATCATTAAAATTAGATTTAAAATTCATTTAATTATTAGAGAAAACTCCATATTCTCTTTAATAATTTGTTTTTCATTACACTAACAAATTCATTTAATGATAATTTAATAAAGTTAAAATGTAAATTATGGAAAGTAAATAAATCAGGTAGTAAACGTAGAGGATAAAATAGAAGGAAAAAAGTTGGATGCAGAATTATTACCAGATGATTTATTAACTGGGTATTCGGTGACTTTGTGGTTAATAAAAAGCTTCATTAACCTTTTTGGCTATAAAAGGACTAGCTATGTGGAGAATACATAGTTAGTTGTGCTAACTAAAAAAAAAAAAAAAAAAAAATTATTGGATTTTTTTTTTGAGAAATGTTTCTTTCGAAAAAGATAAAGATAAAAAAAAAATAAAAAAAAAAAAGATTTAATTTATTTTTTTTTTAAGAGAGAGAAAAAAATCAGAGAGAGAGATTTTTTTTAAGAAGATAATAATATTTTTGTAAAGTGTTTAATTTGCATAATATTCATATTTTGAGTTTGTGAGAAAGAAAATTTTATACATATGAAGATAAAATTTTCATGTAATTAATATGCATATAATTTATTTGCATTTTTAATAAGTATTTGTGTTTTGTTAATTCGACAGCAATATAAAATGATTGCTGATTGTAACTCGTAATAAATAAACTAATAATTATAATCAATTAATAGTTAATGTTAAATAAGTGTTTAAATTTTTAATAAAATAAGGATTTATTTATTAAAGTAAATAAATACTTATTGAAGCAAAAGAATGCTGAACGAAGTAGTTTATGATTAAAGATCATTCGTTCAAAGCATATAAAATATACATAAGTATAAGAAAATCGTAGAGTCATCTCTACATGCTCTTTATTAATTGTTTTGTTCAGTACTCTAGCAAAGTCTCCGAACACCCAGTTAATANAAAAAAATTATTGAGAAATTATTTCTAATATTTTTTTTAATGAATTTTGAAATATTTCCCTTTTTTTTCAGTAAGGATAATAAAAGATAAAGATAAAAAAAAAATAAAAAAAAAAAAGATTTAATTTATTTTTTTTTTAAGAGAGAGAAAAAAATCAGAGAGAGAGATTTTTTTTAAGAAGATAATAATATTTTTGTAAAGTGTTTAATTTGCATAATATTCATATTTTGAGTTTGTGAGAAAGAAAATTTTATACATATGAAGATAAAATTTTCATGTAATTAATATGCATATAATTTATTTGCATTTTTAATAAGTATTTGTGTTTTGTTAATTCGACAGCAATATAAAATGATTGCTGATTGTAACTCGTAATAAATAAACTAATAATTATAATCAATTAATAGTTAATGTTAAATAAGTGTTTAAATTTTTAATAAAATAAGGATTTATTTATTAAAGTAAATAAATACTTATTGAAGCAAAAGAATGCTGAACGAAGTAGTTTATGATTAAAGATCATTCGTTCAAAGCATATAAAATATACATAAGTATAAGAAAATCGTAGAGTCATCTCTACATGCTCTTTATTAATTGTTTTGTTCAGTACTCTAGCAAAGTCTCCGAACACCCAGTTAATAAATGTCTTTGCTAGAGTACTGAACAAACAAATCTATAAAGAGCATGCAGAGTAGCCTCTACGATTTTGGTATATTTATATATATTTTTATATGCTTTGAACGAGTGATTCTTAAATATGCGATCTACTTCATTCAGCATTCTTTGATTTCAATAGGCATTTATTTACTTTAATAAAAATCCTTATTTTTATTAAAAATTTAAATCCTTATTGAATATTGATTATTAATTAATTGTAAATTATTTAATTCTTTGTTATGAGTTATATTCAGAAATTTAAACATATTACTGTTGAATTAACAAACATAAACAATTATAGACAATTGGTTAATAAAAGACTTCTTTAAGCTTTTTTGGAAAACAAAGGGACTAGTTAAATGAAGTATATGAAGTTAGCCATGCATACACACACACAAAAAAAAAATTGATGATATTTTTTTGTTTGTACTTTTTAAAAAAATGTACAAAGACTGTCAGAAAAAATTTTGATATAAAAAAAAAATGCAGTGATCATCAGGAAAAAAAATTGATTAAAAAAATCAATTTTTAAAATATATGATAAAAAAAAATAAATAAAATTAAAAAAAAAGAATTTTTTTTTTAGAAGGAAGGAAATGAAATAATTTTTGTGATGAATTTTGTAAAAGAAAATTTTATACATATAACAATAAGATTTTCATGTAATTAATATTTGTATAATTTTTGATATTTGTAAATAATTGTTTACGTTTGTTAATTCAACAGCAATACATATATTAATTGCTGAACGTAACTCATAATAAATAAACTAATAATTTACAAATAACTAATAATTAATGTTCAATAAGAATTTAAATTTTGAATAAAAATAAAGATTTTTATTAAAGTAAATAAATGCCTATTGAAATTAAAGAATGTTGAACGATGTAGATTATGTAATTAAGGATCACTCATTCAAAGCATTTAAAAACATATAAATACATCAAAACCGCAGAGGCAACTCTAAATGCTCTTTATTAATTTGTTTGTTCAGTACTCTAATAAAGTCACCGAACAACCAGTTAATAAAACATATATATAACTGTTCTATTTTATAATGAGTAGATAAGTTATTTATTCATACTACATCTATTGGAATATTATTGTTCTCTTACATATCAATCATATCTTGATAAGATGAAATAACACAAAAGCTTTCATAATCCTCCAATGACTTAATGCAAAATAAAATTCCGTAGTTAAGATTAGTGTCATAATTTATTTACTTGATTATCCAATAATCTATACATTTTTGAATTATATGAATCAGTTCAAATTCTAAATTAAATTATAAAAATATTAATTTCCATTCATATAATTTTCTAGTGTTAATAAAGTCCATTCCTATAAGGCCTTTGCAATAAGTTTTAATTAATACCATAGAGCATTTAATATAATATTCAAATGATTCACAAGTTGTAACTATTGAAAACAATTATTTTTATATTGTACTCTATTTCCACGGAATGTTACTAAGTTTTCTTCACATATAGTTAACATATTTAGCCTTATCTATATTGTTTATATTGGTTAATATATTGCTCTATAAACAATACTATTGACGCTTTTTGTATAATATTTACACAAATAAATAGAATAAAAACATTTTATTTTGTGCATGCTAATTCAAAAGGACAATCTGCTATCATAAATGTCTGCTCTAAAATAGATATTCAAAAAGTATATAAGCAAAAAATATATGTATATAATTACTTGCACTTAATGTGAGTGCACTTAAAAAAAAATATATATTATGATGATATTTTTTTTATTATAAAAAAAAAAAAATGTAATCTTAAGAAAAAAAATTAGTTTTTTTTTATTTTTTTTTTTTGAAGGATAATGTACAGACTACTATAGAATGTATATTTTTATTTTAAGCTAAAATGTAATATTAAGGAAATTACATTTTAGATTGTCGCTTATGTTAAAAAAAAAATAATTAACTAAGTAATATTTAATGTTAAATAATAATAATAAAAATTTTATATTAAAATTAAGTAGAGTTTACACTACATTTTCCTTATTAATTTATTTCTTTGACAGGAGAAAAGTAATTTAACAGCCATTAATAAATCAAAGCTATAAATAATTTCTTTTCCTTAGAGATATTATCTTATTTATAAAAATTATAATAATTTTAATACTTCATGAACTGTTATTTGGATAATTTATGTTTTTAGATCTCCAATACAAAAACTATTCAAATTATTTTAATATCATGTAATATTTATGTTAAATGTAAAATACTTTTATATTTTAAATATTTTTACTTGTAAGAACAACTTCTAGATATAATATTAAAAAAATATAAATCATAAAAAATGCACTTTTATTAAATTTATGATTATTTCTTAGAGAAAAATTAGTGTTAAAATATTAAAAATGATAGTATTTAAGTACACCACTTTTTATTAATAATACGTTAAAGATTCTAACAAATTAAATTTAAAAAATAATAATTCTTATTAAAATTATCCATTAATATTTACAAAGATGTCTTATAAAATTTAACCTATTAAGAAAAAAGTTATATTAGGAAGGAACAATTGTTGAATTCATTTATACCATATAAATGAGTTAACTAAATTATTTGGTAGGTAAAATGAATAATAAAAAATTGTGCTATAAATATATATAACTAAAAATAAAAAAGAAAATAAACACATTGTAATAATAATCAACACTTATCAAATAAATATATAAAAGCAAAAAAAAAAAAAAAAAAAATATATTTTTTTTATATTTAATTAGAAGATTATAATAATATATATACAAAAAGTTATTTTATAATTCTCTTTTATCTTTATTTATTGATATTTTTTATATCACGATAAAAATACTTTCTTTTAAATTTTATAAGAAAAAATCTATTATATTTAACTAAAGATATATTTTTATATTCAGTAAATAATATTTATATTAAAATTGAAACTAATAAGTATTACTAGTAAAAAAGTAAATTTACAGAAATATATTTTTAGAATAAAGTAAAATTTGTCAAAAAACTTTTTTTAAAAAATATTTTTTACTTTAAATATGTGATTAAAAAAATAGTATTTTTTTTTTTTATTTAAATTGTAATTAATTTATTTGACTTTTAAATGTGCTTTTTACATGATTTGTTATTATAATTTCATAAAAATAAATACCTATTTTCACTTTTTCTTTTGAATTTAAGTACTTAATAAATTTTTTTTAATTTTTTTTCAAATAATTGAAAAAGTAATTTTTTTTAAAAAATAGTTATAACAAAAAATAAATATATACATATACTGTATAAACATTTATCAATAATAAAATTAAAAAAAAAAGAATTAAGATAAAAAAAAGCATATAAGAAAAATCAAAAAAGTTATATTTAAAAGAAAAATATACACAAACAAAAATTAGTTTTATATNACAAATGTAGTATACTGTATGAAAAATACATGCGTATAAAAATTTTTAATTTATAGAGTTTTTTTTTTTTTTTTTTTGATGGAGATATATCTCTATAATATATGTAGATTTATATTTATAAATCATAATATACCGTATATAAAATAATTTAGAGTTCGATATAATTCACAGAGATTAGTAATTTAGAAAAAAAAAATTAAAAAAATCCTTTAACATTAAATGTATATCATTTATAATTTTTATGTGCATTAAATTAAAAAGAATTAATTTTTTTTACATAATATAAAGATAATTAAAATTTTAATAAAATATTTTTAAAACAACATTATCCGATTTATTATATTTTTTATTTATTTGTTAATTAACATTCTTATTTTATTTTTTAAAGAAATAAGAATATTATTCCTATCTAAAGTAACCATGATGTCATGTGAAAGAATAAAAAATTAGAAACCACATTTCATATATGAAAATAATTTTCTATTTTAAAAATTTAAGAAATTAATACAAGTTATAATAATATCTAAATTAATATTACAAATCCATAATTTGGTATTATTGAATATTTAAACAATTTTACACCTGAATTAACAACTTCCACTCCAAGATTATTCTATAAATATATTAATATGAAAACGTTAATTTTATTTTTAAAAATTACTACATTCCTTCTTTTAATTTGGATGTATTTATGTTTTCATAAGGTAAGTTAAAATTTTTGCAAAAAATATACATATAGATATATTTTATTTAAATTATTTTTAACATTCCATTTGATTTACTATTCTAACAAAAGAAACATTCTTTTAAAAAATTTTTATTTAATCCATAGTGTTATTCCTATAAAACATTGATAGATAAAAATATATTGCAAATAAAAAATGAGTTAAAATATGAAAGAGTATTAACAGAGGGTGACATAGCAGGAAAAAAGCNTCCAGAAAAGTCACCGAATATGAAGTTAATAAATTACAAATCAACAAATAAAGACTTAGATAATGCAACTTGTAAAGAAAATACAGGACAATTCATGTCCTCCATTCTCAAACTGGGCATCCGAGTGCACTGAAGTCTGTGAGAACTGCTGAACATGGGAACTAGAAATTTAACTCCAAAATATGAAGCAACAATGAAAAGCCCTGTAATTATCCATCCAGTCTGAAGGAGAACTTCCAAAATGGGCACAGAGATGCAATAGAAATATGTTTTCTGTATGGGTATGGGAAAGCTTGAAGTATAATAACAGTAAAGATATCCACTCAAAAAATAATGAGGTTTCTCATGAACTCTGGAGAAATAAGAATTTGCCCCTAACTGGTTTATCTAACAGGAATATATTCATGATTTAATAGTGAACAGTTTTTAAATAAATTAGTCTCTTCTTTTTAACCAGAGAGAACAGAGAACTGAATGACTATATTTATTAACTATCGTAAAAATTATGTATGTGCCCACTGAAAATCTCATTTCTTATTTTCTAGTGGTAATATACTACTAATTAGTAATGTATATGTAAAGACTATAGTGGTAACTAATAGGTAAAGTGAACTGACATTCATGCCATTCAGAACGGGAAGGCAAGACTACATATGAAATAAGTTTTACAAATCAAGTGTGAAATACTAGGGTGAAGAAACAGTTATAATTGAAATACATCACTGTAAATGTTACTGTAGTAGATACATGTGGGTAACTAAAGAAGTAAGGAAAGAAAACATCTTGGACACAGACGAAAATAAAATAAAAAATATATATATCATTGACTACCTTCATAAAGTAATAATAAAAAAAAAAAAAAAAAAAAAAAAAAAAAAAAAAAAAAAGGAAAAAAAAAAAAAATATCGAAAGATCCACGAATATTGAAGAATCCGTACGATGTATGGCAGATAGATACTACTCCATTTTTACGGGAGGAATTTAATAAAGAAACAAGTGGAATGGACCCTAAATGGAGAGACCAAAAATGGAATAATGATTGGAATAGAATTTCAGCTAACAAAGTTAATGATCTATCTTCAATATATCATCGAAGTGATATATCAGAAGAAGAAAAAGAAAAATTAATTTATTGTGCTGAGAAAGAACTCTACATGCTATTCGTGAAATTTTTAGGCGAATGTAAGAAAGAGATGATAGACAATAAAACAGGATCCGAATCTAAGAATGAGATAATAGACAATAAAAAAGAATCCGAATCTAAGAATGAGATGACAGACAATAAAACAGAATCCGAATCTAAGAATGAGATGACAGACAATCAAACAGGATCCGAATCTATGAATGAGATAATAGACAATAAAACAGAATCCGAATCTAAGAATGAGATGACAGACAATAAAACAGAATCCGAATCTAAGAATGAGATGACAGACAATAAAACAGAATCCGAATCTAAGAATGAGATGACAGACAATAAAACAGAATACGAATATAATAAAGAGATGACAGAAAATAAATCAGAATCCGAATCTAAGAATGAGATGACACACAATCAAACAGGGTCCGAATCTATGAATGAGATAATAGACAATGAAACAGAATCCGAATCTAAGAATGAGATAACAGACAATAAATCAGAATACGAATATAATAATGGGATAATAGACAATAAAACAGGATCTGAATCTAAGAATGAGATAATAGACAATAAAACAGAATTCGAATATAAGAATGAGATGACAGAAAATAAATCAGAATCCGAATCTAAGAATGAGATGACAGACAATAAAACAGAATCAGAATCTGAGAAAGATATGAGAGACAATAAAACAGAATGTGAATCTAGAAAAGAGCAGGAAACAAATGAAATAAAAAATTATAAAAAAAAAATTTCGAAATTGATTATTGTTTTGATATTCTTAAGGAGAATATAAATTAATGGTTTAACAGAAAAAATAAGATTAGTCATGCACAAGATCTAGTTAAAAAAAAGAAAAATTAATATTTTGTCTAAATTTGTTTTATAGAAATATATTTTAATTTTAAAAAAAAAAACAATTAAAAGAGAAAAATTTTTTAGAAAAAAAAATTTCATGAGAATATTTTTTAATTTTTAAGAATAAAATTTTCGTTTAATGATATTAATGTAATTAAAATTTCTTTTTATTATTTATGTATTTTATTATTTTTAAAAGAAGTGAACTTAAATTGCTAAAAATTACTTATAAAAAGCAATAATTATTTTGTACTTAAAAATTAATAATAAATGAGAATATATGTTTTTAATAAAAATACATAATTTTTATCAAAGTAAATTCACAATGAACCGCATTATTGCAGTTTATTTGTTTATAACATTAATATTAGATTTAAAATCCCTTTAATTGCTAGAGGAAACTCCATATTCTGTTTAATAATCTGTTTTTCATTACTCTAGCAAATTCATTGAATGATAATTTAATAAATTAAAAATGTAATTTATGGAAAGTAAATAAATCAGGTAGTAAACGTAGAGGATAAAATAAAAGAAAAAAAGTTGGATGCAGAACTATTACCAGCTTACCTACATGACAAAAAAAGGACACAAAAAGGAAAAAAAAAAANTTTTTCTTATAAAATTCAAAAAAATGCATTTTTATTGTGATATAAAAAATATCAATAATTTATGTATTTTATTATTTTTAAAAGAAGTGAACTTAAATTGCTAAAAATTACTTATAAAAAGCAATAATTATTTTGTACTTAAAAATTAATAATAAATGAGAATATATGTTTTTAATAAAAATACATAATTTTTATCAAAGTAAATTCACAATGAACCGCATTATTGCAGTTTATTTGTTTATAACATTAATATTAGATTTAAAATCCCTTTAATTGCTAGAGGAAACTCCATATTCTGTTTAATAATCTGTTTTTCATTACTCTAGCAAATTCATTGAATGATAATTTAATAAATTAAAAATGTAATTTATGGAAAGTAAATAAATCAGGTAGTAAACGTAGAGGATAAAATAAAAGAAAAAAAGTTGGATGCAGAACTATTACCAGCTTACCTACATGACAAAAAAAGGACACAAAAAGGAAAAAAAAAAAAAGTCTTTATTGAGAATTATTAGAGTTAAAGATTTGTTAATAAAAGGAATTATTAGAGTTTTTGAGAAAAAAATTAATAGCTGTATGGAAAATAAATAGACATGAAAAAAAGAATTGAATAGTGTGAAAAAAATATTTAAGTTATTAAAAATGGAAGAAAACTTGATAAAAAGTTTTTTCGTAACAAATTTTTATCTTTGAATTTTAAAGTGAAAATTTTATATTAACAATAATAAAATGTTCGCGTTTGTAGCATTGTATAACTTATTTTGTGTTTTGTTATTTATATTTGCTAATTCGCGAGAAGTGAATTTGAATTGTTAAATATTAATCATAACATTATAAGTAAAATATATGTAAGTTAAAATTATAATTAATAAAGATTTAAGTTTTTAATAAAAATAGGTATTTTTATTAAAATAATTAAACGCCTCTTAAAAACAATAAATGCTCAATGAAGGAGACCATATACATTTCAATAGTTTGTAGTATTAAAACACATATTTAAATTCATTTAAATGGTAGAAGAAACTCTACATTCTGGTTATTAATCCTTTTATTCAATACTCTAGCAAAGTAATGAATAGGAAATTAATAAAACATTAATTACATTTATTTTACTTATATTATGATTTATATTTAACAATTCAAATTTATTGCTCCCAAATTAACAAGCATAAATAATTGAAAAAATTCAAATTAAATTACATAAGTACTACAAAACACAAAAATTATATTATAGTTAATATAAAATTTTCTTATATTAATTTAAACAAAAATACACCACAATAAGCTTTCTTATTCAATAACTTTTTCTTCTATTTATCGGCAACTAAATTCCTTTTAAAAAAAGAGAAAATTTATTTTTTTGTGTATTTAAATTACAAAAATAAAAAAAACCATTAACTAATTTTTTTCTTTTTTTTTTTTACATAGCAATTTCATGTTGGTTAATAAAATGTATTATTAACCTTTTTGAGAATAAACGGTAATAGTTGTGTGGAAAATATATAGTTATACATGCAAATTCTAGATGCAAAAAAAAAAAAAAATATATTTACTTTTTTTTTGAAATGATTAATTTTTCAGTTGAAATATTAATTTATTTATTTCTTATTCCATAACTTTGCTATAGTATTGAACAAACATATTAATAAAGTGATTTATTAACTGAGTGTTCGGTGACTTTGTTCAAGTATTGACTTATTAACTAGATGTCCGCTGACTTTGCTAGAGTACTGAACCAATAAATTAATAAAGAGCATGAGGAGTTACCTCTACGATTTTCTTTTATTTATATATATTTTTATATGCTTTGAACGATTAATCCTTAATTATATAATCTACTTCATTCAGCATTCTTTGATTTCAATAAGCATTTATTTACTTTAATAAAAATCCTTATTTTTATTAAAAATTTAAATCCTTATTGAATATTGATTATTAATTAAATGTAAATTATTTGTTTCTTTGTTATGAGTTATGTTCAGCAATATATATATATTGCTGTTTAATTAACAAACATAAACAATTAGTAAAAATGCAAATTAATTATATTAATATTAATTACGTGGAAATTTTATTGTCATATGTATAAATATTTCTCTCACATAATAAAAATGTAAATGCTATGCAAATTAAGCTCTTTTATATGTAAATATATTTTATCTTTTGAAGATCTCATTTTCATTGGTAACAAATCTTACTCCCGATTTTTATTTTACCATTTTTCCTTCTTTCATTAAATATTTTTGAAAAAAATAAATATATTTTTTTTATGTATTTCCAATTTATTAAAAGAAAAATAAAAAAAAATTCAATAATTTTTTTTTTTATTTTTTTTTTTTTTTCGTGTTCGTCACCGACTACGTATTCTTCATATAGCTAGTTCTTTTTATTATCATATAGGTTAATAAAGCCTTTTATTAACGAATATTCAAGGAATTTAAATTTTATATGAAATAAATTGTTCATTCTACGTTATTTAACATAATTATATATAAATAATTTATAATCTATAGGAAACAGTGGACCAAAAATCTAATAGTGAACTTTGTAAAACTTAATTAATTTGATAGTTTAATTAACATTATTATATAAATAGCATATTAATAAAACAAAATCCTAATAAAATGTTAAGAAGTATTAAGCAGGACATTGTTAACCTGTCCTATGTACTATTTCATAAAACTGATAGTTAGATAATCCTCCTACATGAAAAAATAAAATCCAATTTATTTTTTAAATGGATAAGATTCCCTTAAGATACAAGCAAAAAGACAAATGCATGCACATTATAGAATTTTTAATTATTTAGATAATAAATAGGTAATAAGGTATTGGTTAATAAAAGGCTTTATTAACCTTTTTGGAAATAGAAAGGACTAGTTATATGAAGAATACCTAGTTGGTCATTCACACGCAGATAACAAAAAAAAAGAAAAAAAAATGATAAATTTTTTTTTGTTTTTATTTTTATTAATAAAAAGACGTAAAAAAAAAAAAAATATATATTTTTTTAAGAAAAAAAAAGAATGTCCAAAAAAAAATGGGTTAAAAACATCAATTAAAAAAATATTTGTTACCACTAAGAATGAGATATTAAAAACAAAAAAGATACTTACTTAAATATATTATTTTATAATTTTTTTTAATAATTTTTTGATATTAATTTTTTTTGTAAGAGAAAATTTTATACATAGAAATTAAAAATTTTCATGTAAATAATATTCATATAATTAATTTTGTATTTTTAATAATTGTTTATGCTTTGTTAATTCACAGCAATATATTTAAATTGCTGGACATAAATAATAACAAAGAAATAAGTTATATACATTTAATTAATAATAATATTCAATAAGGATATAAATTATTAATAAAAACAAAGATTTTTATTGAAGTAAATAAATGGCTATTGATAATAAAGAATATTAAACGAAGTAGATCAAATATTTAAGAACCACTCGTTCAAAGTATTTAAAAATATATATAAATACGTCAAAATCGTAGAGACAACTCTACAAGCACTTTATTAATTTGTTTTTTTAGTACTCTGGCAAAGTCACCAAACACCCATTTAATAAATCAGCATGCTAGTATGCTGCGAAAAGGTGAACACATAAATGCGTACACTTAAAAAATTACTCTCTCTAAAAGTAAATATAAGAAAAAAAAATTTAGATATATTTTATTATATTTTTTTTTGTTGTAACACTAACTTGGAAAAAAAAAAATAATTTATTTTCTTTTGACAATAATTTTTTTTTTATTATTTTTTTTAAAAATAATTTATTATCATAAAAAGAAAATTTTTTTTTCTTTTGAGATGATCTAGAATATATTTTTTTTGAAGATTAAAAATACAATGTAAAAACGTGATATGCATGGCATGTTGTGTAAATTAATAACATTAGTAATTAAATAACTCACTTATTATTTTATATTAATTAACAAAAGTGAATAATTTGTATTATATTTTAATAAAAAAAAATAAAATAAGTAAAATTTTCTCTATGAGTTCTTTATTATTTTGTTTTTTTAATATTACTAAAGTCATTGAACGAGTAATTAATATATCAGGTAATAAATAGAAAAATTAATAAAAAAGATGTAGAACATTCTCTATTAATTTAATGAATTTAAATATAATTTCGATACTATAAACCTGTAAAATGTAAATTATGTAGTTATTAAGAATTTATTTAATTTAATAAATATCTTATATTTTTATTAAGAACAGAAATTTTCATTAAACATTAATTTTTATGTACAAAATATTCAAATATAATATTTAATGAATAATTTTCATTTATTCAATTCATTTTCCTTAAAAAGAGCAAAAAAATTTAAATTATATTAATGTTACTAATAGCGAAAATTTTACTACATAAATATAATATATTCTCATTAAAATATTTCTTCCTAAAATTTTTTCCCTTTTAATAATTTTATTTTTTTTCTTTAAGGAAAATAAAATATATTTCTATAAAAAATGTAAAGCAAAATATTGATTTTTTTTAACTAGAACATGTGCATGGTTTATTAAGTATTTTCTTTTCATATATTGACTTTTATTTTAATAAAGGTTAACAAAGTCTTTTTTTATCCAATTTTTTAGTTTTTAATATTTTATTTCTTGTTTTCATTTTATTTTTTTATTCTTTATATTGACATAAAATTTTTTCATAATATAAATGAAGATTTTTCGAAATACTATCAATTAACTTTTTTCTTTTTCCATTTGTAATACGATACTAATGAGTTAGTTAAAAAATTCTACATGCGAATCCTCTTTAATATTTTTTCTATAAGCATTCAATATTTTATCTCTACATTTATATATTATTTCATTTTCTTCATTAAAGAAAACAGATATTTCATAGTCTAATTTAATATTAGCGTAATAACATTTAATATACATGTCCATTAAATAAATCAGCTCATCAGGTATAATTTCCATATCACCAGATGTATAATGTTCTATATCTTTTTCAATATAAGATGATTTTTTTTCTGATATATCACCCTCTGCTAACATTCTTTCGTGTTTTAACCCAATTTCTGTTTGTAATGTATCTCTATTAATCAATGACTTACTGGAATCATACTATAGGATTAAATAAAAATTGTTTAAAATTTTTTTTTCATTTGTTATAGTAATAAATTAAATAAAATTTTTAAAATGATTAGAAATAAAATATATTTATATGTTTTTTTTTTATATAAATTTTATCTTACCTTGTAAAAGCAATGGAATATCCAAATTAAATGGAGAAATGTAAAAATTTTTAAATATAAAGTAAACGATTTCATTTTAATACTATTATAGTTTAATATTAAAGTTAGAGATATTAATCCAGTTACAAAATTGCTTCTATCTTTACTAATGATAAGTTAGAGGTACGTAATATTGCTTTAGGTAATATTGTGGCCTTTGTAAATTTTAAAAATTTTTAAGGTAAAAAATTATTCGTTTATATGAAATGTAATTCTTAATTTTTCATAATTATACATAATGTTACTTTTACATTATGTAAGATTAATACTATTGACTTTTCAAAAAATAGAATAAATAAGAATGTATATTCATAAATTAAAAATAAAAATTTTAAAATATGTAAAGTTATTTTAAAAATATTCCATTAAAATTATATTCGTCCTTAAGGTAGATGAAAAAATTATATAATGCTAATTTGAAATAAATTAAATTATAAATGTTATAAATTTAATGTCAATGAATTTTTTTTTATTTTTTTTTTTTTGTTAAACTATTAGTTTTTCTTCTGTGAATCACGTAAAACTTTAAATTATTTTATATATGGTATTTGTTATTTATAGATATAATTTAAGATATATTAGAGATATTATATCTCCATCAAAAAAAAAGAGAAAAAAAAAAACACTATAAATTAAAAAATTTTCTATGCATGTATTTTTCATACATTATACTATATTTGTAGTCATTTTTAATTATATATGAAACAAATTTTTAATTGTGCATTTTTTTGCTTCACATGTAACTATTTTGATTTTTCTATTATATTTTTTTTATCTTTATGTTTTCTTTTTATTTTTGTTATAAACACATGTTTATATAAAATATTTATACCTAATTATTCTTTATCATTATAATTATTTTTTTAAAAAATTTTCTCTTTTAATTACTTCTCACAAAATAAAAAATAATTATGAAATGCACAAATTCAAAAGAAAAAGTGAAAACATATCTATTTTGAGGAAATTATAATAATATATCATATAAAAAAGCACTCTATATTAATTACAATTAAAAAAAAAAAAAACTATTTTTTTAATCATATGTATTCAGCAAAAAACATGTTTCGAAAAAAATCTTATTTATTTTTGGCAAATTTACTTTTTTAATTAATCTAAAAACTATGAAGAAAATTCTTTTTTATATGAAACATATTATATAAATATATTTTTATAAATTTTTTTTTTTTATAATTAATAATCACAAGTATAAATTTTAAATTTAATAAAAATATCATATATTATATTAACTATAAAGATATATCTTTAATTAAATATAAAGAATTTTTTTCTAGAAAATACAAGGATATATATTTTAATTATGATACAAAATGTATCAATAAATAAATATAAAACAGAATTATAACATATCCTTTTGCATGTGCATTATCATTACCTTATATTTAAATGTAAAAAAAAAAGTTATGTGCTTTTTTTTTTTGCCTTTTTATACATAATCGATAACTTATAATTATTACGAGAATGTATTTATTATATTTTTTATTTTGTTATATTTTAGTTGTAAACATTTTTATTGCTATTCTTTAATTTTTCCTTATCTTTCTCATAAAATCTAAGTAACTCAATTATTGGACTATAAATAATATTATCTACCTATTTTAAATAATATTTAGATAAATATATAAAAAACATTCTTAATTGTATATGTCATATTGCAAGGAAAATATGCATACATGAAAGCGTAAAGAAAGTACGTATCTTAAAAAAAAAATATACTCACTATAATTAAATACTTTTAATAAAAACAATTGCTTTAATAGTAAATGCATCTAAAAAAAAATACATTCTATAAAAGTAAATGCATTTAAAAAAAAATACTTGCTCTAAATAGGAATAAGATATGAAAAAAATGTTGATATTATTATTATTTTTTTTTTTTTATGAAAAATTAAGAATGTAATATCAAATGTGACATACATGAGATACAGTTCAAACTAACAACAATAGTAATTAATTCATACATTTAATATTTGATATAAATAATAAAAGTGAATAATCTGAAAATGATAAAATGAATAGAGCTTTTTCTACATGCTTTTTATTAATTTGTTTTTTTCATATTAGCATGATCACTGAATGAACAATTAACAAATAATTTATATAATAAAAAATAATTCAACAATTGTCCCTTTCAAATTTTACTTTCTTCTAAAATATTTAAGTTCTATAAGACATCTTTGTAAGCATTATTAAAGAATTTTATTAAGAACTTTTATTTTTTTAATTTAATTTGTAAGAATCTTTGATATAACATAAATAAAAATGTATATGAATAAATATTACCTTCTTAATATATTAACGCTCATTTTACTTTAAAAAATAGTCGTATTTTTAATAAAATTGAGTTTTTATGATTTATATTTTTTTAATATAATACATAAATGCAGTATTTCCAACTAACAATATGTGAAATATAATATTATCTTACATTTATACATATTGCTTCATTGTATTAAAATCTTTTAAATAATATATGCATTGTATATTTTAATATTAAAATTATCCAAATAATAATCCATTAAATGTAGAAATTAATGTAATTATAGTGTAATGTTCATAAAGTAAAAAATATTATTTATAACTATTGTTTGGCAATTGTATCATTAAAAAATTAATAGTTAGATAATGCAGTCAATTATACACCAATTCACAAAGGTTAAATAATACTAAATAATCATTTATATATACGTATTATCATAGTTATTTCTATAAAGATAAATAATATTAATTTCATTCTTATTATAATAATGTATATCAAATAATCGTACTAGTGTAAAAAAAACATTTATAGCAATAGAAATTATATGTATGATTAATATAAGCTTTATTAACTTTTTTGATCATTAAATTTTTATATGGAAAATAAAGATTTATATATATGCAAAAGTTAATTAAAAAAAATAAATAAAAAATTAAAAATAGTTGATGTTTTTTATATATATTTGTTTCTTAACATAAACTATTAATTATTGTTTTGATTTGAATAGGTGTGAATTTTATAGAAAAAATTTTTAAAATTTTTTTTTAATATTTCAATAAAAGAAAATTTTATATTTTTTAAAATTAGATTTTCATAGTTTCCAGTGATATGTTAAGTGCGTATTTTTATTATTTTAAGGAATTGACTTGATTTTTTAAACACTAATAATTAGAAATAGTAATTAAATGTTTTGTACTTAAAATCTAATAATTAATGAAGATTTATGTTTTTAATAAAAATATAGTGGTTTTTACTAAAGTGAATAAATTGTCTAGAAAAAAAAAAAATGAAGAACTTGTAAGAAAAAAAAATAGGATTAACAGTATTGGTAACAATGAAGAATTATGGGAAACAATAAAGCAAGAGTATAATATTTATGAAATTAGAAAAAGTGAATAAACTGTTAATAAGTTACAAAACAATGAAAATGATATAGGGCTGTGTAAATTCCAAACAAATTTTAAAATAAATTAAAGAAAAGTACACAATTTATTATATATTCTGTTAATAAAAGAAATTATTAACCTTTTGAAGAATAAAAATAATTATTTATATGGAAAATACGTAGTTAGTTATGTGAGTGCTTGATTTATTAACTGGGTGTTCGTTGACTTTGCTAGAGTACTGTTTTATTAACTGGGTATTCGATGATTTTACTAGAGTATTGATCAAATAAATTATTAAAGAACATGCTGAGATGCCTCTACGATTTTGTTGTATTTATATATATTTTTATATACTATGAACGAATGATTCTTAATTATGTGCTGTACTTCGTTCAGCATTCTTTAATTTCAATGGGCATTTATTTACTTTAATAAAAATCTTTATTTTTATTAAAAATTTAAATCCTTATTGAATATTGACTATTAATTAAATGTAAATAATTTGCTTCTTTGTTATGAGTTATGTTCAGCAATTTATATATATTGCTGTTGAATTAACAAACATAAACAATTAGTAAAAGTGCAAATTAATTATATGAATATTAATTACGTGAAAATTTTATTGTCATATGTATAAAATTTTCTCTCACAAATTAAAAATATAAATATTATGCAAATTAAACTCTTTTATATAAACATTATTATATGTTTAAGATCTCATTTTTATTGGTACTAAATCTTACTCTCGATTTTTATTTTACCAATTTTCCTTCTTTCATTAAATGATTTTGAAAAAAATAAATATATTTCTTTCACGCATTTCCAATTTATTAAAAGAAAAATAAAAAAAAAAATTCAATAATTTTTTTTTTTTTTTTTTCATTTGTGCACAACCAACTACGTATTCTTCATATAGCCAGTTCTTTTTATTACCAATAAGGTTAATGAAGCCTTTTATTAACCAAATGCTTAACAAAGTAGATAACATAATTAAGAATCACTCGATCAAAGTATTTAAAAATATATATAAATATGTCAAATCGTAGAGGAATCTCTACATGCTCTTTATTAATTTGTTTTTTTAGTACTCTAGCAAAGTCACCGAACACCCATTTAGAAAATCAATAACTCAATTATTATATTATATTAATTAATGAAGGTGAATAATTTTTATTATAGTTTAATTAAAAAAAAAGAAAATGAGTAAAATTTTCTCTATATGTTCTTTATTATTTTGTTTTTTCAGTATTACTAAAGTCATTGAACGAGTAATTAATAAATCAAGTAATAAATAGAAAAATTAATAAAGAAAATATAGAACTTTCTATACTAATTTAATGAATTTAAATATAATTTCGATGCTATAAACCTGTAAACCGTAAATTATGTAGCTTATTGAGAATTTATTTTCTTTAATAAAAATTTTATGTTTTTATTAAGAAAAGAAATTTTCATTAAACATTAATTTTTATGTACAAAATATTCAAATATAATATTTAATGAATAATTTTCATTTATTCAGTTCATTTTCCTTAAAAAGAGCAAAAAAATTTAAATTATATTAATGTTACTAATAGAGAAAATTTTACTCTCAAAAGTATAATATATTCTCATTAAAATATTTCTTCCTAAAAACTTTCTCTCTTTTAATA